CTATAAAAAGAGCAAGTTAATCAGACCACCTTAGCCAAAAATAAGGTGTAAAATTGCGACAGAAGTGCCCGTCTCTTAAACAACCGCAAACCCAACATCCCATTATTCGGATTTGACGAAATGCTAGGCAAATAACACCGTTAGTACAGTCTTTTTTGTTACAAGTCCCTCATAAACATGGAACTAATAAGTTCCAGACATACATAGTACTTTTCTGCCATTCGGTCTTAATCATAGTTGATCTCTATATATATTTACAAATATACATATATTCTTGCTGATTCTTCTCAGGACAGAGGGTTTTTTCGAACCAGTGGTAAAGTAAAAAATGACTCAATAAAAATTGCACATCTGATCTATATTGAATAAAAAATTATTCTTTGAAATAATCGGCCAAATTTGCAGAGAAGGTGCGGAATAAGAAATATAGGCAAATGATGAGGAAAAGTAATTAAGAGAATCTCTAACATTTTGTTCTTTTTAATTGATTTTACTGCGCACGCACACATTCGTAAGGGTCGATCGGTAGCTTGGCGTGCTCAGCAGAGCGGGACAGTATTTCATGCCGGCTCAACGCCTGCAACTTTACAAGGCGCAGGTTCGGCCTCACATGGAATGCTGTTCCCATCTCTGGTCTGGGGCTCCTCAGTGCCAGCTCCTTCCACTTGACCGTATCCATCGCAGAGCGGCTCGAATCGCCGACGACCGAGTCCTTTCCGATCGGCTCGATTCATTGACACTGCGAAGAGATGTTGCTTTCCTTTGCATTTTCTTTCGCATCTACCACGGGGAGTGCTCTGAGGAATTGTTCGGATTAATCCTAGCCGCCAAATTTCACGAACGCACATCGCGGCAGAACTCCCGATACCATCCACACCATCTGGATGATTGGCGGTCCACCACTGTGTGATTTAGAAGATGTTTTCTTCCTCGCACAACTTCCTTGTGGAATAGTTTACCACCAGCGATTTTTCCGGACCGATACGACTTAGGGACCTTCAAGAAAAGAGCCTACTCCTTTTTAAAAGGCCGGTAACGCATCTGCAATTACCCTGGTGTTGCGGTTGTTCATGGGCGGCGGTAGTCACTTACCATCAGGTGAGCCGCATGCTCGTTTGCCCCCCCTCCTATAAAAAGGCAAAAACATTGTTGCCCATCAATCACATTCATTTTGGGATAATTTCGAATAAAAGTAGAAACCTTATTTACTCGTATTTAAAAAAATAATTACAGTATATCATTATTTATATATTTGAACTAAAGTTTAAAATTTGTATTTCCTCCTAAATTTTAGATTGGACCGATTTTGAAGAAATTTTTTGTGTTTGATTTTCCTGGATGGTTTAGATTCACGATTGAACCCAGTATGTGGCTCGCAAGATTCACAGAGAAAAATCACCCGTGAGAAGCCGGGGCGGTTCGCTAGTATTCTTTATAGAGTTAAAAGTGCAATAAAACAAAAGGCCACTCTATAGCTTGCACCCTATTCTAACGTAGCTCATTTAAACGAGTCGTACGAATAGTTAGGAAACTACTGCTTTTAACCTCCAACATCTTTTGAAGTATTATACTTGCTGTCTTAGAATATTTTATTGTACTATCTAGTTTGAAATAGGTCAAACCTTAGAATATTTAAACAAAAAATGTTGCTATAATAATAGGGCTTTTTAACTTGTTGTTGTATGGTTTATTTAGTAACGGTTACATGGCGGAGTGGCTTAGTAATTAGTTGCGGCGCACGGAATAAGTATTTGTATATTTTATAAATAATTCTTTCGGATAATTTTTGTCCTTGTAAAATTCATGTATGTAAACTGCCTCTACGGTACAGGAGAAATACTTGTGTGGAGGTAACTTTTTTAAAAGAGATGGATAGAATTCCAAGTCTGACCCTATGATCACTTGGCAATTAAAAAGCCTCTCAATATTCGTAGCGATACAATGAAGCCAATATAATTATAGGCTGTAGGCATTCCATATTAGTTCTCAGAGGTGACAACGAATATGTACTCTCATTTTTTTAAGTTTTGTTGAAGTTGGTTGCAGATGTCTATGGTCTATGAGATGGACTGTCAGCTAGTTTGTAACTTCCATTGAATGAAAAAAACTTTTATATAGAAAAATGTGATAGTTATATGAGAAAGTTTGCTTGTATATTCGTGAATCAATCACGTAAAACCTTCTGAATAGATTTTGAGGAATCTGTATTTTTGTATAAATACTTTTAAGCCTATCTCAAGGTACAGAATTTTAATCCATGGTGCATTCGTCAGTTTTTAATCAACCGCGAGCGAAGCTGCGGGTAAAAGCTAGTATAACATGGTCTATTTGTTCGTTATCAAGTGACGGCACACCAGTCTCCTATGGCATTTCGAAGCCGACGCAAATGTCCGGTGCTCACCTTGTGCCACTTAAAGACGTGTCCGCGCCACAATAACATATGAAATATTATAGGCTAATAATTTTAATTGACAGGTATCGAACAAATTTTATTTTTATTCACTGACGAAAACATATGTTATGAATAGTCTACGAGCGTGTTGACCTCTTGCTTATTGTATCAAATATTGGCCCAAATGTAATTATGTAATATGATACGTAATAAGAGATATGCATAACGTTGTTAGGCAAGTTGACTTTCTGGAGTCTTTAATTGAAAACATAGTGCAGCTATATTAGTAGTATAGTTGTAGCACGAATGGGTCGGCACGACCGGGGAAGGACCACGCTCTCATAAAATACCAGCGTAAAATGGCAGCTTGACACTGCTGTTTCGTATGGTGAGTGTAGAGAACCGGAGACCCCATTTTACTGCAAAAGAGGCATTCCATCTTAGTCCTCACGGGTGCCGACGCATCTGAATTTTGATTCTTTATTGAGGATAAATGTAAATGTCTATGGGTCACAGCAACCACTTATCAGCTGGACTGTGTGCTCGTTTGTCACTCTATCCTATAAAAAAAAAACACGATCAATGGTTAAAACCTTTTATAATTACGATGAATTTAACGACGCCCCATATTATTTATTTATATTTGTAATTAACTTTATTGTTCTAACCAATAAAAGGTTACGAAGAACGGACTTAATGCCAGTTGGCAGTCTCTGCCAGTCAACGCATGGCGTGGTGAGAAATTAGTGGCAGGTGATTCAAGTAACTAAATATGTTAAAATCCAGCAAACAAGCCGTTTAGGTTACCGATACCGTTACCGCCTATTAAAGTCCACTGCTGAACACAGTCCTCCGCACAGATTGCCTCATAGAGGGGATTTGCCATAGTTACCAAGTTCTGAGTTACCATCTCCTGATTTGTTTCCCTCTGTCGCCTCTTACGACACCTACAGGATTATATTGGGTAGTGGATATTTTTACACCGCTACCACACGGCACGGTTTAGGTTGCGAAACGTGCCAAACAGTTAGACATCCATACATAACATGCACTTGATAAACATCACCCTCCTTCTGGTGCAGTCGGGTAAAAAAATGGACATTGATATATTAATATTTCCAGCTGAGTTATGTTACATGACTTCTCGTTGATTTTATTATTTTTTATAATATTCTTATCAGCGTTATCGCCCTCTTGTAGTACCATACGCTCACCAGATGTCGTTAGTTGGGACTGAGGTGCACTTATTTTTTACGCAGATGGTCACACAGTGTCGTCGTTATTAAGTTGCGATTTAATTATTAGTTTTTCAGTTTCTAGAGTTTGTATGAGTATATACACAAAACAATGCCTCAGTGCTGTATTTTTTAATTTTAACACATTTTTTTTAAATTCTTCTACCTTTAGGAATATCCGTTGTTTGGTTTAGCCATTTCAAATCTAATTAATTAAAAAATATATGTGGATTATACGTGGTGGAGACCCGCTGCAGTTATATTATGGTTGTAACACCAATGAGTCGCCTCAACCATTGGTTTTCTGTGAGGACCACGCTCTCACAGAATACCAGCGTGAAATAGCAATTTAATGCTGTTGTGTTTCGTACGGTGCGTGTAGAGAAACGGAGATTCTTTTTTTACTGGAAACAATTTTCTAACAAATTAACTTCCTTCATAGCGTAAGTGGCGCCACCCTGGTGGCAGAAAATGTCGTGGATTAGTACAGCGGTGAAAATTTTATAACAATACTTTAAAGTTGGACTGGTCGGGGTGGCCTCAAGCGTTTGATTGTTTATTTTTGTCATAACATTAAAATAAAAAACAAGTCCGTAATATGTGTTTTTGACATTACCTAAAAATAATCGCCAGTGATAAGAGAACTGATACTTTCCTCGCTAAAATACTAAGTAAAGTCGCTCAGAGAGAAAATGCGACCAGCGCTCTTGGTACTATACTACGGGGCGAAGGACTGTCAAATAATGGAAGTTTTTAGTTTTAGTTTATTGCTTCCATGCAAAGGTGGAGATGGTTGTTAGTGATTTATAAATACGTATGATAGTATGGTTATACTTTTTACTTTTTCAGCTTGTCATCTTATTTAATAGGGGTGACAACGCATCTGAAACTTTTAATATTTAAGCCATTTATTATAATATATTTACTTATTTTGATGAACGTATCTGTAAGTGCCTACTTCCAATAACACCAACCATATTTACAATAGAACTCCGTTCTTGTTTTGTTGTTGCCCTAACTTCTGTTTATATAATTTAACAATTAATTAATTTACTAATTAATTAGTTCATTTATCTTATTTACAAGGTTGTTGAGAAAAAGTAGTTAGGCTTAATTCGATAGACAGTTGCGCGAGAAAACACTCGTCTCAAAAAACTTAGCGACTAACAATGATTAAGAAGACGTCTAATTATATTTTACTAATAAATATATGTCGTTGCGTTTGGTAGAAATTAATACAAATCCGAATATACCCATTTTTGCAATTGCCCAAATGTACCTTATATATACGAGTAATTTTATAAAACAAACAGAACTATTAGTGGTTAAATGTATTATTCACAAAATAATCAATGTTTTTTTTTTAATCACAGGCGCTGCGTCGGGACGCTATTTGGGCAAGGAAATTGGGCCTCTGTCGCAACTCCATCACGGCGTGCGGGGTACCGTATACGCCGTAGACTCACGCACGCTCTACCTTCACGACTTTCACTACGATGGCGAGGGACCAGGTAAGATATCTGAAACTATCGATATCTATAAATAGTTATCTGAATATTTGTTAATATATTATGTAAATATACGAAATATATATGTATCTACATTAATATATATATTGTATCGTAATATATTTTGTTACATATAAGTGTATTTATTTTAGTTTCTATTCTATTTTTTCTTTAGCTACACCTACTACAAATTCAGCAAATTCTCACCACTCCATCGGTTGACTGGTAGAGAATGCCTTCAGGCATGAATTCCGCCTTTTGTATTATTTTATTCTAAGGGATTGCAATAAAAAAATAAAAATAAATAAAAATAGTTATAAATTTTACAGTAGAGTGGTGTCGGCATGAAATAATTCACATCAGGTCATTTAAGTGTTGTGAAAGTCAACTATTTAAAATTCCAAGAAGTTCTTATGTTCAAAATTTTACGTTCGTCATTCAGAGGCGTAGGTAGAAACTGTAGACTCCATATGACACGGTTCTGATACAGTGTATGTTCTGATAGCTCAGTGGGTTAGCGCTCGCTGTAAATTTCACAGTACGCGAGCAACCCGAGTTCAATCCCCGTCGGCATCAATAAAATTCTTAATTGCAATTTTAAGAGCTGATTTACCACGTGCTCTGCGGTGAAGGAAAGTATCGTGAGGAAACCTGCATGTCTTAGAAATAAAATATATATATATATATATATATATATATATATATATATATTTCGAAGACATGTGAAGTCCGCCAACACGCATTGGGGTAGCGCGGCGGACAGGCTGTAACTTTACTTTTTTATTTATACTACAATGCTAGACGTAAAAGGCCTCTGCCTCGAATTTTGTGGGCAGCGGGGCGGCAACGCAGACCCGTTCTCGAAACCGTTTACGTGGTAGAGCCATTCTGCATCTATATTAATAGTATAGTTGTAGCACGAATGGGTCGGCTCGACCGGGGAAGGACCACGCTCTCACAGAATACCAACGTCAAATAGCAGCTTAACACTGCTGTGTTGCGTATGGTGAGTGTAGAGAACTGGAGACCCTTTTTACTGGAAAAGGGGCATTCCATTTTAGTCCTCACGGGTGACAACGCATCTGCATTTTGATTCGCAAACGAGGATAGATGTAGATGTCTATGGGCAACAGCAACCACTTACCATTAAGTGAACTGTGTGCCCGTTTGTCACCCATTCCTATAAAAAAAATAAGGGTAACAAAAGAGCACACAGTCCACCTGACGGTAAGTGGATGCTGTGGCCAATAGACATCTACATCTATCCCCCATTAAGAATCGAAATACTGATACATTGTCATTTCCTAGGATTAAGGTGGAAAACTCTCTTTCCAGTGAAATATCAACACTCACTATAATACAAAACATAGCACCATCCATTTTACTCTGATATTTTGTGAGAGAAAATTTCCGGGGTAATTGTAGCAAAATAGATGGTAGTTAGTTGCTTAAAAGCGATTTTGTAGCTGTTACATAATCTGTTTAACTCTTGTAATCTATTCAAAGCGCACTGCAGTTAAATTTGGGATTTCCTCACACTCGGCTGCAATTATGATTCTGTGTTTGCTTGACCGAGTATTCCGTGCGATGTTGGTTTCAAATGTGCATTCAAATATTTGTTAATGTAATATAATTTGAACATGAAACTTGTGAATCCTGAATATTCAACAACTTAATACGAGAATGTAATATTGACATTAAGTTTGTAGAATTTATATTCAAATCTTGGATGTTAAGTTTAAATGTCAGGGTTTAAGATCTTTTCTATTTTCGTTATTAGTTTTTTTTACTTCTTTAACGGCCCATTAATGTCATTGACATGGTATGAGGACTTTGTCGTTACACTTTTACAAAAGGTATACAAAAGGTGGACTTTAGGGTATTGTTTCAAAGTCAATCTTGGGCGTAATATGATAATGAGGTATGTACATTATATGTAAATAATATGGAAGTACCTATATGGTTATATTTATTTTAATTTGATACGAAATGGGAAATACTTGCACGTTTCTACACACACCCACACACACACACATAAATGCACTGCTAAAAAAATGCCTCCTAAATGCCTCCCCCGAGGAATGTCTCAAAGCATGGTCGTAAACCACCTTCGACTTACTGCATCTCTCACCAGGTCTTCACGTAAGACAGTTGCCGCCTTACCCTTCGTTTACCGGTACGAGGCTGCCACTCGAGAATCTTTCTTAGATCTAATGTCTATAAAAGTGTACAACAAACTGCAATTAATATAAAAAAAGAAAATAAGTTTAGTAAATTTATTAAATTAGTAAAGGAGTTACATCTTAATAAAGCTTATTGTACGGTCAATGAGTACTTCTCTACATAGTATAAAACAAAGTCGCTTCCCACCGTTTGTACTCTGAGATTTTTTAAACTTTGCAACGGATTTTGATGTGGTTATCATAAATAGACATAATGATTCTAGGTAAAAGTTTATATGTATAAGACATGCATATTATCACAATATATAAAAATTACGTGTCACATTGCTTGTCCGCGATGAACTCCTAAACTACTGAACTGATTTCAGTAAAATTTTGCACACTGTGTGCAGTTTGGTCCAACTTGAGAGATAGGATACTTTTTATCTCAATAAGTGACCATCAATTTTTTTTATTGCTAATTTCAGGAGTTTCTTTAGGAAAGCAAATGATCGTCGGAAAGGGCAGAACAACGTCTGCCCGGTCAGCTAGTACATTATATAATTGTTCTGTCTGTGTTTATGTGACTGAACTCCTAAACGCCTGGACCGATTTTGATGAAATTTTGTGTGTGTGATTAAGTTGATTAGAGAATAGTTTAGATTCACAATTGAATCCGGTAGGTGGCGGTGTTGACGAGATTCAGAAATCAACCATGCGGAGCCGGGGTAGATCTCTAGTAAAAGATAAAACGCTTTAGATGTCTGGCCTTCTTCTTTTCCATATTGGTATGCCTGAACGTTCACATGCATCTTATGTGTATATTTGTGCCGTGTAATGTTTATACAAAGTTTTTTTGCAATAACCGGCCAAATTTGCAGAGAAGGTTCAGAATAAGTAATATAGGCAAATGGTGAAGAACATGTAATAAAATATATCTCAAACATTCTGCCCTTTTTATCTTTTAAATTCAAAATGTGTGGTAACGCATTATTTTAACTGATTTTACTGCGCACGCACACATTCGTGAGGGTCGATTGTTAGGCAAAAACGTTGTTGCCCATAAATTACATTCAATTTGGGATAATTTCAAATAAAAGTAGAAGCCTTATTTACTTATATTTTCAGTAACTGCAGTAAAGTTATATCATTATTTATATATTTGAACTTAAGTTTAAAATTTGGCTATCCTTTGAAAAATAACCCTGCATAGTTACAGTATCATATGTATGATTATTAAGTAAACAAATAAATAAATAAAAATGTCTAAACAATAAAGTGTATATAAATGTTTATGATATACACTTTATTGTTTAGACATTTAGATACCAAATAAAAATTAATTAGATATAGGTATAGTTTCAGTAACGTTTTGTAAATTTTAGATTTATTTTATGCTTTTTTCTGTAACCGCCATCGACGTTATACCACGGCCCTAAGGTTGACTGGCAGAGAATGCTTTTAGCATTAAGTCCGCCTTTTGTTCCTATATATAAAGTAAAGTTAAATAAAGAATAGATGAAGTCCATAGTAATTGATTAATATTTTTTTGTGTTCAGCGGCCTTTTTCTACGTGGGAACATCGAAAAGCGTGACCGCGACGGGAGCGATCCGACTACGAGACGAGCGCGGAGGCGCGGGCCCGTTGCGTCGGTACCGCGGCGAGGGCCTGACGCTGTCCCTCCCTGATGGAAAGACCCTACGCGATGTCACTTGGTTCTCTGTCTGGTGTGATGAATATTCGGTAAGAAGCCTTATTTTTATGAACTGCCCACTCTTGTCGTTGTCTTGTGCTCTCTCTCTCTCTCTTACTCTATAGAATAGAACAACTTTTGATTTCTTATATTTACGCGAATACTACAAATATAATAAAACTAATTTTACGGATTTTATAGAAGTCAACTTTAACGACTTTCACAATAAATTTTAATTTTTCCGACCGCGTGATAATGGGTGCTCTAAAGTACCCGAAACGTCGGGGATTAAAAAGTAAAAATTAAACGCGATGAAATCCGTAAAATTAGTTTCTTTTAAAAATATTTTTAATGCAATATGGATTCAACATTTATTGAAAGTCATCTTTTTACTACTGGTTAGGAAAATACTTCTGGGAAGAACCCGAAAAAAGCCTAGCGATATTGTATGTTTTTAAACATATATAACTTTACTTTAATTTTGGTACAATTTTTATGTGAATTTTAATAGAACCAGATCACCTCATTCCCAGGGTATATTTTCATTCATGTATTCCTTGATTTAATAATAACCCTTCTTGTACAATTTTAAGCTAGTTAAGCGTATACTTTGTTCTTTATATGAATTACTAATTCTGTGGAGTCTAGTAACTGGCATTACAAGCTTATGTTTGTTCCTTGTGTCTAAAGTATGAACATCCTTATTCTTATCAAAGCTCTTCATGTTTTTATGTACATACATTACGTTTTCATAAATATATTGCGATGCCAAAGTTAATATGTAGTCTCTCTGAATAGTTAAACTTTTCAGACGTCTCGCTTCTCTTAACGTACGTTATGTATTTTTAATTGGAGTAGCGATGATAAACGAGTATACAGTTCAGCTAGGGCTCTATTAACCTAAAAGTAAATTACGCATTTAATTAAACTAGTTTAACGGATTTTATCGCGTATATTAACTTATTTTATATTCCCAACATTTCGAGTACTTTACAGCACCTATGGCCATGGGGTACTGAAGTGTTGGTCGTACTTGAATTGTCGGGAATATAAGATTTTTTTTATACGATAGGGTGACAAACGAGCACACAGTCCACCTGATGGTAAGTGGTTGCTGTGGCCCATAGACACCTACATTTATCCTCGTTTACGAATCAAAATGCAGATGCGTTGTCACCCGTGAGGACTAAGATGGAATGCGTCTTTTCCAGTAAAAAGGGTCTCCGGTTCTCTACACTCACCATACGAAACACAGCAGGATTAAGCTGCTATTTTACGCTGGTATTCTGTGAGAGCGTGGTCCTTCCTCGGTCGAGCCGACCCATTCGTGCTACAACTATACTACTAATATAGCTGCAGCATGGCTCTACCATGTATATAATTTAATAAATGTATAAGTATATAAGTTAATAAATGCGATAAAATCCGTAAAAACTAGTTTCATTCATATGTGCAGTGTTCGCGTAAACGTGAGAAATAATTTTGAATGACGCTGTATACAATATGCATAATACGCGGCAAGATCCGTAATAAAGCTGTCCGTATATTTATATTATTATACTAGCTGTTCCTCGCGACTTCGCCCGCGTTTTAGGGTTTTTATGTTTTCGCGCGCAACCCTATTTCTTTTTCTAAAATAAAAGTAGCCTAAGTTACTCCTTAAGAAATTAGCTATCTACCAGTGAAAGTTCCGTCAAAATTCGTCCAGCAGTTTCGGAGATTAGCCGGAACAAACAGACAGACAGACAAAAATTTTAAAAATTGTATTTTAGTTATAAGTACCGTATTCACTTTCATATGCATTTGATAAAAAAACTGTAATTTTGACATTACAAACAGACACATATATTTTATTTATTTGTATAGATATACTATTTTTAAAGCCGTTAAAACTTCACGTACGTATAACATAAGGGCGGGGTGTCACGGACGTACAACTGCTTCGAGTTCAGCCAGTATAAGTTACAACATTTGTCTGGGTACTCGGGAAACTTGTAAACGATTGGAACAGGGTTTTGAACATAATATAATAAGGCTTTTTTTCTGAGGAAAATCCTTTTGTATTTATTATTTGCATTCTCAGGTAGTTGTACACCGTGGTATTATTAAATAAAACGACAATTATTTAACTCGTATATCGTTACTTTTTATTTAAAAGTTCTAACCTACATATACATATATGACTTTGTCCTAGACTAGACATTAAAAATATAATATTATATTTATATATATTTCTATGTTCAAGAAACGTTCCGTTCTCCGTAATGATCCGTTTTATTACATACGATGTGCATGTTAATATAATCTATATTACAAAACCATTCAATCGCAACTTAGTACGACTTCGAATGAAAAAAAACTTTAAACAGTTTATTATATCGGTTGAATTTTGTTTTAAAAAAGGGGTTTGCATGCACTTGATAAATTGCATAAAGGCTCGTAAAAGAAAACGAAGCGTTTTTAAATGTAGAAACCTTGCATTACATACATTTAGCGGTATTAAAATGAAAAATACAAATACTTGTACCGTGAGTTCGAATCCGTTGCCCTCAGCGTCGCAATTTAATGTTAAACCACTGCGTCATGGGGCTCTTTCAACTATTTCTATATAAATTAGTATTAAAAATAATAAAATTATTTTCATATAACGCTTCTTGGCGTTAGGCGTTAGCGTCAGTGGCGGTGTAAGAAAATCCACTACCCAATATCGTCCCGTGGGTGTCGTAGTCCAGTTTCCCTCTGTCGCCTCCTACGACTCTCATTGATCGATATGGACAGACAGGACAGAGGTTTTTCCGAATCAGTGATAAAAGTACAAAATGACTTTCAATAACGATAACTTGTAATCTATATTGAACAAAAAATGGTTATATTATGTTCCATTCTATTCTGTTCAGTTCTTTTCCATTCCGTCCCGTTCCACCCAGGTCTGTTCTGTTTCGTTATATTCTGTTATATTTTATTCCGTTCTATTCAGTTCCATTTTATTCCATTCAGTTCCATTCCATTCCATTATATTCAATTCAATTCCATTCTGTTCTATACTATCCTATTTTATTTTATATTATTCTATTCTTAGATCGCCGTTTGTCATCTTTACTTTCATGAAAAATACTTACAAACATTTTTCTAATAAAAAAAATAGTAGGATTTACTGACAATGTGTACAGAATAAATTGTAATTAAGATGATGTTTACAGGTGAATTTCGGCAGTGTCAACATCCCCGCCAACTTCGACTATCCTAAGCCAGCCAAGTTGAATGCGTTGCGTGGTGTGCACGGTGTCTCGTCTGAGCCTATCGTCGTGGTGGACGCGCAGACTCTCCTCATTCCCAACTTCTCTTACGACGGAGAGGCGCCTGGTGAGTAACGTTTTACATTTAAATATTCAAGTTTTTTATTACTAAGTGCTAGGTAGCATGTATCGGTAGATATATGAATGTAAAGGAGGTGAGAGAGGTATGTCAGGATCATGTCAAATGTCGTCCGTAGTCTCTACCTGTCCATATAGATGACAGGCGTGAGTGTTATGTTATGTTTATGGTAGGACTCTTTTTTGCCTAGTTTTCTGTGTGGGTTGGTAATACCCTTTTGCCTATTACTGCTATTAATATGTTTACTATTGTGTTCCGTTGTAAAAGGTATAGAGAACAAACTAGTTACAGGCTTTGAGTGACAACGTATCGGTATCATTCGTTATTTGGAGTTGGTTGTGGATATATGGGCTACAGTAGCCACTTACTCTCAGGAGGATCGAAAGTGCTGGATTGAATAAATGACGGATAACAAAACAGTTAACGTCATGTAAAATTCTTAGAGCGGCGACAAAAACCAGCGACAAATGTACGACACGTTTGGTATTGTGATCGTCCCCCTGCACTCGTTACAAAGGCAGACTTAATAGATTGATAAATACCAGAACACTAGCGTGAAATTACAGCTAGTGCAATAGCAGTGAATAACAGCTTGATGCTCTTTTAACTGGAATCGAAAAATTCCATCTTAGTTATCAGGAGTGACAGTGCAAGTGTGTTTGTGACGCCATGACAGCGCCGCCACAGTGCATTAAGTCGTCGTCGTCCTAACCTACCTCCTACAGGGTAAAGCGGCGTAAGAGAATCCATCATCCCATTTCATCCCATGGGTGTCATAAGAGATGTCTATTGAAATGCCAAAACGATGTTACGACTTCCGAAAAATGGTGGTATAACCATTTCTTTGAAAATCTCCAGACCGGCGACGAGGAGCAACATCAAAGTTACGGGATATGTCCCGTACAGTTGTGCGATCGTTAAATTGCCTGCCAAGCGTGAAGATTAAAGAAATGCTCCCTACAAAGGGATAGGCTTTTATAAATGTCCAGTAGTGGACTTCGGGCTGATGATGAAGAAGATGAACTTATCACATGGAAAAATTATGCGATAAATCTCGAACACCAATTATCACTTTCCCGATAAATATAATCTAAATACAAAGCCACGTTATAGCCAAGCTCATTTTACTTAAAACATTCTAATGATTTCAAAGTAATATTAAAATGAGACCCTTCACAATTACGACGTAAGCCATCCGTCGCGGAGTAATGGCGGGCGTTAGAAAGCAATCTTGGCGAAGGCGACGCCGGTGGCGCGTGTCGCTTAGCTAACTACAACGAACTCGTACCAACACCGAGAGACGAAAACACGACAAGCGTGGGGTCATACTGTTAGCTACGATAAATAAATATAAACTCGCACTTTATCTATATGCCGTACGCTGCAGCAATGCTACGGTTGTAGAACGAATAGGTTCGCTCGACCGGGGAAGGATCACGCTCTCACAGAATACCAGCGGTAAATAGAAGCTTAATGCTGCTGTGTTTCGTATGGTGAACTTTGGTTCTTAGCGTGGCCTTACTCAGAATGAAGACCCGACTTGATAAGATATGCAGGAAGTTAATGGATACATGCTTAGGACTATATCTTGTGGTGTTAGTTCGGGGTGGTCTATCATCAGTAATCAAATCAATCAAGGAGTTCTTGACAGAAAAGTAAGTTTTTATGAAATATGGGTGACAACGCGAGCAAACAGTTCAACTGATGGTGAGTGGAAGCTATGGCCAATAGCAATCTAAATTTATCCTCGATTAAGAATATAAATGCAGATACATTGTCACCCCTTTAGGACTAAGATGGAGAGCCTCGTTTCCAGCAAAAAGGTTCTTAGGTTCTCTACACTCACCATACGAAACACAGCAACATTAAACTTTGCTTTTTAAACAGGTATTGTGTGAGTGCGTGGTCCTTCCCGGTAGAGTCGACCCATTCGTAATATAAAAAAAGATAACACTATAAAAATAGTAATAGTAAATATAAAACTTTAAAGCATATCAGTGAAGAGTGTATATTACAATAAATTCGAAATACTAGACTCTAACACTATGTACTATAGATTATTAGAATAAAAAACGTGTGTGTGTACTTATGTACGCACGTAGAAATTTATACTTCTTTAGCGTAACAAAACAAAAATAACTAAAAATAACTACCTTAAATATATTTATCAGTTCCCACGAAAACTTGAGAGACAGTTACCCAATGAAGTTGTCGCTTTGAGGTGTCAGTGTGCGCGCGCATCGTAAAAAAATCACTATCACAATTTTTCCCAAACGCCCCAAAAGTAATAAAACTTCAAAAAAATAAAATAAACTTGTTACGTGTTAATTTATTATTACATTAAAACGCCAGACCATTGTATGAGATGTATGTTAAGTAAATCTATAATGGAATCAAAGTCTTGTTTACAAAAATCTTCTTAGTGTAGTTATTATATGAAACTCACACAACTCGCTGTTACTAACACCACACCCTTATCAGATTGTGGACTGTTCACTGCGACGCTATGGTGACGTTGTATGTGAATTAAATTATTTCGTTGTGGTGTTACGCTTTGTGACAGTTTCACATTGTATTTAACGTAACAGTTGCAGTACGTGTATATTACATCGCAAATTCTGAGTTAGAATATTAACTAGAATCAACATTTTTGTACAAATAAAAACAAAAATAAGTTTTCATAACGTTAGAGTTATCAAGAGTTATCTAGTGTTATCTAGATGTTTATGTTTTCAGATTATACGTAGTAGAGCCACGATTGTTGTCTACATTTTTTTATAGGACTAGGGTGACAAACGAGTACACAGTCCACCTGATGGTAAGTGGTTGCTGTGGCCCATAGACATCTGCATCTATCCTCGATTACGAATCAAAATACAGATGCGTTGTCACCCATTCCATCTTAGTCCTCACGACTAAGATGGAATGCCTCTTTTCCAGTAACAAGGGTCTCCAGTTCTCTACACTCACCATACGAAACACAGCAGCATTAAGCTGCTATTTTACGCTGGTATTCTGTGAGAGCGTGGTCCTTCCCCGGTTGAGCCGACTCATTTGTGCTACAACTATACCAGTAATATAGCTGCAGCATGGCTCTACCACGTACATTGTATCAAATACCAAGTAAATCATTGTTGTAGCATGAAATTGTCGGTTGGGGAAATACCACGCTCTCACAAAATACCAGCGTAAAATAAAATCTTACAAGGCATTCCATCTTAGTCCTAAGAAGTAACAACGCATCTGCGTTTGATTCTTAATCGTGGATAAATGTAAATGTCTATGAGCCACAGCATCCACTTACATTTACGTGGAGTGTGTGCTCGTTTGTCATTCCTATTCTTTAAAATAAGATCTAAATGTTTTGAAACCCTTGTTAACGGTTCCCTTATTGTCTTTCAACCTTTTAGATTCTCATCATATATTTACCACAGTTGCCACAGTTGGTAGGCGGGTTAGCAACCGCAGTATTCTATTATTTTGAAACCTTTATACGTGGTAGAGCCATGCTGCAGCTATATTAATAGTATAGTTGTAGCACGAATGGGTCGGCTCAACCGGGGAAGGACCACGCTCTCACAGGATACCAGCGTAAAATAGCAGCTTAATGCTGCTGTGTTTCGTATGGTGAGTGTAGAGAACCGGAGATCCTTTTTACTGGAAAAGAGGCATTCTATCTTAGTCCTCACGGCTGACAACGCATCTGCATTTTAATTCGCAAACGAAGATAGATGTAGATGTCTATGGGCCGCAGCAACCACTTACCATCAGGTGGACTGTGTGCTCGTTTGTCATCCTTATTCTATAAAAAAAACCGCAATTGCTTTAACATAATAAATACACAAGAAATTAAATACTTAGGTATACCAATAGATAATAATCTTAAATTCAAAGCACACATAAGAAATTTAATCAAAAAGTCAGAAAACTTATTTCTTCTTCTTCTTTTAAATCATGGCTTCTCTTGAAAAAACTTACTTTTATTACAAAACTTACTTAGTTCGGATACTTAAGGCTGAGGTTGATCTGTGCTACATCATTTTTACAATTACGAGACACGGCGTCGGGATGTCGTAGAGGGATACATCTTCCATTTACAAAATTGGAAGACAACGCTGTTAGCGACGGAACACGAACATCCACGAGGTGATCTTCGGAGTGTGAAAAGAAACCTACTGCGACGTCACACCTTGCAGCAGGCGTAAGAAAAGGACAACAAAGAGTAGTATATGGTGTCTTTTAGATACATTGAAGAAATAATTGTAAGTACATTGCTGCGTTATTAACATAGTGCAATTATTGGATAAATTCGGACTTAGAAAAATTTCATGTTAAATTGCTAGAATTTTCTAAGTGTAGTGGACTTAGAATAGATTAAGAAAAATTGAACACACGGGGAACCTATGCCCAATTTAAAAAAAAATACAAACACTTAAAAAAATTTCGAAGCAAATAACATTGACTTAGAAAAATTTTATTGAAAAAAATTATAACCTACAAAATTTGAATTGAAACATGGAATTCATAAAGCTTCAGACAGAAATTATAAATCAATTGAATAAAGCTAAAATAAATTATAAGAAAAGTCCTAAAGAACGATTAACAGCTCGTAATATTGAAACCAGAATAAAATTAGCGGAAGAAAAATGGACTGAATTTTCAAGCAATCATTCTGCAATTATTAAAAGCAAGCAAGACGTATCAGCGTCAGACTACATTAAAAATGATCATTTTCAAGAAACAGAAATGTTTTATATTGATTTTATTGCGGAAATGAAAGAAAAATTTGACCAACTTTTGGAACAACCAAGAATTGTATATGATAAGCATATAATGTCATCTTCTAATGTAAAATTGCCTAAGATTTCGATTCCAACCTTTTCAGGACAATATTCCGAATGGATGAGTTTCAGGGATTTATTTGTATCACTCATTCATAAGAGTTCTATGGAAGATGTACAGAAGCTTCATTACTTGAAAGGATATTT